TGAAGGAAGTGGAAGATTTGGAACCCGGCAAGAGAGCACCGAGGGGATTTGAGTGTAAGAAATTTCCCACCGAGCAAAACAATAAGATCTTTTTTTTTTTTTTCTTTTTCTGGCAGGGGCTTCTTGAGCTATTCCACTTTCGCAAATCCCTCTCCTGTTGCTTCACATAAATAGTTTAGACTTTTAGTCATGTAAGCAAAGCGTTCATTGTGGCGCTGAGATCCCATAAATCAGACTCCACTCTTTGGAGAACATTTATGATGAAAATATGTAATCGGAAGATGCGCACCAACAAAGACAAACGCTACCGTTCAAGCTTGCTAATGCAGAACGATGCAATAATTTAGATGTTCGAGAGGTGCGTCAAAGCGACCCCACAATGCAGCGCCTCCGTCGGGGGGGCGCGTCTCCGAGTGGCGGCAGATGGTCGGCCTCGTGTTGACGCTGCGTGCGCGCGGCCCGCGTGAGTGATAGATAGCTTCTCTGTGAATAGCCGCGCAGCGTAATACGATTTGGATGCAAGAATGGAATCTAAATGGGATTTCGGGCAGTACTATGGGCCCAGAGCTTCACTCCTTTATCTCCGTCCCTCGCCAGCCGTAACGTGGTCAGCTGCAGCTGTTCTCTCTCCGGGGCGTGGTCCCGCCGACCCGCGAGGAAACATTATCGCCTTTTAGACGCCTTCTATGCCCCTTTTTTGAAATGGCTCTCGTGGTATAATAACACGCTGCCGTCCAAACTGAGGTTCCTCTTAGAAAGCGTGGATGTGATACCTGTCGTGGACGTGATCGCGGGGGAAAAGGCCGGGATAAACGTTTTAGTGTGGTTCTCTTGACTGTTTGAACCCTCTCTCGTGTCTCATCGGAGCCCCCCTTTCCCCCAACGGCGTAGTTACTCTCTGGGAGGAATAGAGGAGGAGTTCACCGCGGGGGAATCGGGCAATCTGCATAAAACAGCCCGCCGCTGCTGTGAATAAATCAACATCGACGTGGGACAATGAAGCCAATGCGGTGCGGCCATTTGTTTGCTCTTACTGCACAGAGCAGCGCACTTTGGATCATTCGCAGCATAAACGCATTACCGGGAGAGCACTCGGAACACGGGGCATCTCTTTTTCCCTCCACGTGTCTCTCTGTCTGGGTCCACAGGCGGTTCGCTAAAGCAACCATTAGATAGATATCTAATGGGACCTTCCCACATCCTCCTCCGTCCCTCACATCCTCCGGCCATCATAGAGGAAATGAAAGTCACTGATGGAGAATATGAGGGAATGGTAAAGATGGATGGATGACGGGTCTATGTCTACAGAGGGAAGATATACCGTTGGCATATAGCCATATACTGTATATAGATATATTTGTCTTTATATATATTAGGGCTGCCACCAACATTAACGCCTTATTCTATGCAATTAATGTGGCCGGAGATAAATGCGATAAAACGCAGTAAACACAACTTGTTTACTTCTGGTCTTCCGGTGTGCCCCAAGTAAACAGTGGTGCTGTGTCGAAAAACAAACAAACAAACTTGTAATCGCCATTAATATATTTCAAAATGTACGATTAATTAGTTAATTTTTTTACTTTTTCGAGAGAACGAATATCTATATATATACATACACACACACACACACACACGCAGAGGCACACACACTTGGCTATATGCGCCAACAAATATTAGAGAATGTATTAGTTTCTCATCTTAAATAAAAAGGGAATTGTACAATATATTCCAAGCAAATAGGAAACATCTGGAACATGTTTGATATCAACCCTCAACTCTGATATTGAGTCCATTCCTCTTCTGTTCTAAATGGTTCAAGAAACATAAAGCAAACTGGACTTGTAGGTGTTTCCTTTTTCTTTTATAGCGACGTGTTGTCTGGCTCGTCGTTGTGAGAAAGTGTGAATTTGGAATCAGAAACTGGCAGATGCCGACGCACCGAAGCGGTGAGCATGAACACGGGACATGTTTTATGTCACGCATGTGTACCTCTGGATATCTTTTGAAAACACCCAACATACAGCACAATAATTCTACAACAGTATAATGTCCGTCATTCAAAGTTAATCACTGCATTTACCTCAAATACTTAAAGAATCAAAGCTGTACGTTATAGTGAAACAATACCGCCTCAATTGCTACACATCAATCCTTCATCTGACACTAATTCGAGGGAAATCAGCTCAATCAAAATCAGCTTCAGCTGAACTGGCATTGATAGTTGCACAGAAAGAGGAAGAATGCGTCACCTTGGCGACAGTACGGAGGGAAAGAACGAATACAGAGACCAGAAACATTCAATGTGCCTGCAGGTGCTTTGACTAGATTTCAATGTTGAACTTTAGGTTCAATCTGTCTCCACTTAGGGTCCACTTACCGTTTAGGGGACATTTTGAGTGCAGGACTTACATACCTACATTGTGGTGTTACTACTTCCCCTCAAATAACCTCAAAAATACTTGGTCCCCCAGACTCATTATCCGATGTGATAATGTTGCAGTGCGAATGGGGCCTCTGGATGTATTTATCAAGTCAAAAAACACCAAGAGAACATGAAGCAATAAACAGTCGCTTCTCAGGAGGGAATCAGTCTTTCCCAGTATTTTTTAGCGCCTACTTGCTAAACAAGAACATGTGAATTAATTAGCTTCGGAAACGTAGTTCAAAAACAAATTCAGCCTTCTTGCTAAACTGGAGAATGAGTTTAGAGCTTTTCTGAGTGTTACCACTGAGAGTTTTGTTAATGTTGACCCTTTCATTCTGAGAACATAGAATGACCTTTTACAGAAGCAGTCACTAGTAATGTGGGTGACACAACGTCACAGGATGCCGCGGTAAAGTGCAGAAAGGGAGAAAATACAGCACTCAATCCCCCCACTCGACTCCATACGACAACATTGTCATCTGAAAAGTTCTGTTTGTGCTTTTTTGTGTTTGTTTGTCTGCCTTTTCCAAGTATAAACCCCTGCAGCTAAAATACAACGAGGGTGTTTTAGGGAAATAAGCTTTTTCCATTTCTGTTGGATGATTAAGTTGATACTCTTCTCTTCTTACCACAGCAGACACAGAAGAATGGATCAATACCAACATGTAAAGATGATCCTGCACAGTATCAGACTTCAGCATGGGGCAATACCAATATTCATATAACCGCTGACCGAGTTAATCCATCTCGACTTATTCCGTCAACCACGGACGGCTGCTGGGAGGCCGCAGCAGAGGTCGTTTTGGCCGCCGTTTTCTTGTAGTTTGAGGAGGCGGATTAGTGGCTTGATGTGCGAGCGGCGTGACTCGCTCCGCCCGCCTGCTCCTTGACGCGCTCCGACAGGTCAGTCGATGAGGGGGGTTCATCGACCCGCTGGGCCCCAAAGAAGGGTCGTCTCAGACTGCCTGATTACAAACCGAGCTCCCTGTTCGGTTCGTACGGCGGCCGCGGCTACATTAGGATTCCAAACACAGCAGGAATGTCGATAATGAAGTTCTGCTGGAGGGTTATGTGATCATTTGGTACCTGCAACGCACTGACCGAGGATCAGAAAACCATCTCATGCTAAACAATCTGTTGCAGTTATCCATTTAATTTGATATTGTTGTAAATACTACATTGGTTACATTACTAAACGTTGTATACTGACATTTCACGTTTTTGCCACTTATATACCCGTACAACTATTTGATTGTTTTTGTGGTTGATTTAAATTTAAAGAGGCGTGTTATAGGAGGCTGTAGCACACAAAGTACAGAATGCCATACGTATGTCGTAGAAATCTCACAATAGTGCTATAAACTATTTGTTATTATGTGTTATGCCAGAAAAACATCAGAATATGGGATACAATAAAAAAACCATAATACTACAAATTTGGCCAAAAATGGTGTTATTTGAGACAGTCAGTGTAAAACGATGAAACATATTTTTTTATCCAATAAAAACAGCTATTTTATGCTATGTCATAAAAAATACATCAACCAACAGCACGTCAGAAAGCTGGAAACAAACGAGTCCCTCTATTTCCTTACGTCTCATTTTAACACACAGAAGAACTAAACTACTTATTTAGTTTGCACATGTGGGTGCACACAAGCTGGTTAACATTTCATACATGGTGCCTTAAAACGCAGGAATCCCTCCATGCCTTTGATCTTAACAAGGTCCTCCAGCAGAAGGTCTGCGGCTTTGGACACGATCACATTAAATGAAGCTCTGCGGAGCGACACATGAGTACAGAAAATAAACCTACAAGTCATGTTAAAGTTTGTTGAGAAGAAAACTCATTAAAAAGTCTCATTATGAAACTTGGAAAAAACAGTTGAAAGGGTAATTGATGGTAATTGTGAAGTATCTTGACACAACGTCATCCTTTAATATGTAAAAGAAAACCTGCACCAGGAGGACGAGGTTCGACCCTCCGTCTGCATTGAGGGGGGAACCAGCCGCGTACCTGCAGGACTTGTTTTGTGGTTCGTTTAAGAGCCCAGTGGGATTTTTTTTTCTTTGGACTTGCTGGACTTCTTATGACATCCAGACATTTCTGTTGGTTTATTTTTCATGAATTATTGGAAATAATTCCATTAGTTCCAGCTGCTTTATCCTGTCGCACACTGCATAAGCCATAACAATGGCAGTGAAGAAATCCATTAAATATTAAAGTATATTATTTCCTGAAGATCAATAAAAAGTCAAATATTTTGTCCAGACATTTTTTTTTAATAAAATATTTTAAGAAAAATTGTTTTCACAACATGATAAAAATGTCACAGTGTAGTAGAGCAAACATTTTACGTTGTTTACTCCTATTTACAATGTTGTTCTATATACTAGAGAATACAGTTGATTCAAGTGTAAATGCAGGTTTACGGTGATACTGAAATGCAGACGCAGAGCCGTCACACTGAAACTAATATGGTTTTTATTTAAGTAAAATGTAAATAAAGGGAAGTTCTCTTTCAGTGAATTGAACAATCAGCGGGCGACACAGAAGACACAGGAGCCAGCGTTCTTATAAGGGGGGGACATCTTTATTTATAACACATGGAGTCCGGGCTCAGCGTCTATATTACACGGTTGCTCTGCGAGGCGGCGCGTTTAACGGTACGGTATTTGGAAACCAAGGTTGCAGTGGCACTATAAACACACGCTTCAAACAACACATTCTTTCCCTTTTTTTTTCTTTTTTTTCTCTTTCCTAATTTTCTTACAAAATAGTACAAACAACAATACAAAATATTTGTGCTGTTGACAATTTACAAAAAAAAAAACGTCTTCCGACTCGATAACTGTGCAATCCCCCCTTTTTCAGCTTTTTTTTTAAAATTTCCTCCTCCGTTCGAAACCCCGTCGGTATCGTACACCCCCGTCCCCTCTGGAGGGCAACCTCGGTCATGCCGGCTGCGAGACGTTTTTGAGAATGCTGTATGGTTACGCTAATAGAACTCATCTGTCCGTTATAAAAAGACACATGCAAAAAAGCTCCAATTGTACAGGTACAGTTTGCCTAACGGTTTAGCTTCAAGCAAATACTAAATTATGTACACTCGGACGCGAGCAGAGGACTCGCACCAAGCTGCCGTCCGTCTGTCTTTCTGTGGTTTCCGGGCCGCGACGAACAAAAGTCTGCCGTCTGCTGCAGCCTCCCCTGTATGTGTGTGTGTGTGTGTGTGTGTGTGTCCTTTAACTAACACCGGGCAGAGTGTCACTGCGAGTCCTTTAGAACATTCAGTCTCATGTCCTTGTGTCACGTAGGGATGTGCGACATGTTACAGTTGTCAGTTACCTTGTGTAAAGTGTGTGTGTGTGTGTGTGTGTGGGCCTCTTGCGATGTTTTTCGGCCCTGAAGCCGGTCCGAGGTGTCCGCGGACGCTCATAGAATACAGAACACTCACGTATGTACAGTAAGGCCGAGAGGAGAGCGAGCGGCTTTTTCTCTGGGCGCTGGAGGCGACCTCGAGCGGGGTCAGAGAGTCGTTCAGAATCTCTTCGATGGCTTCTTGTGGTGAAATATATACCTTGCCGAGTGAAAGCAAAAACTGGGGTTCAAAAAAAGTGCAACGACAACACAGAAACGGATAAAACCAAATGTATAAAAACGATGTTCTGTATGTACAACAATGTGGGCCGTCGGAAATGATCACAAATGGCAGAAAGTAACAGCTGTGTTTATTTTGTGATGATGTTCTGTGGGAGTTTATCCTCTCCAGTCCTTAGGTCTGTCCCCCCCACCCACCCAACAGATCCCCCCCTCATTAATCCATTCCTCCTAATGACTATTTGTGGGAATGGACTCTCTGGATATTCGTCTGAACTGCTAGCAGGTGGGAAACGATTGGCGGAGAATGAGACGGAGGGGGGTTTAAGGGGGGGGCAGATTTATAATCAATAGATCTGCTCCATCCGCGTCCAGCGGGAAACGCGCTTACTTGCAGATCAGCGACCAGCGTTCTGCACATTTGAATGATTGAACACAAAGACTGAAACTCTTCATTTCCAGCGTCTGGAACGAGATTACAGGAGCCGGAGCGTTTTCGCTTAGACGCACGACAGAAGCGCCTCTTAAAGCGCTGCGGCTGAAGCTTTGGTTCGCCTTTCGGTCTCCTTGGACAAAACACAGAAGTTGGTAAACGGACTTCCTCTGTTTCCAGCGCTGGCTGGAGAGAGACAGATTGTTAAGGCGCTGAAACCTCGGCCGAGGCTCAATTTCAACAGCTCCTGTGACGGCGAACGCCACCGGAGTTGGTACATTAAAAGTTTCGCTGGGAAACAACGGTGAATCAACAAAATCACCCCCCCCCCATAAAAAACAGAGATATGAGAATGGGGCTCTCGGCTCACAGCTGTATGTGATGCTATCACAGCTGTTTGAAGTATCTTCGCTCCCCTCGCGTTTCAACACTTTATATCGTCTTCTTTGACGCCGGCGCCGAGTCAGTCGTCCCACAAACATGCCAACGTTAAATGGTCCTAAAGGCACCGTCTCCTTAAATAACCCTCATACGCACTTCACACACAACGACATTAGAAAGGTGACACTTGGAAGTTTAGTCACGAGCAGGTTTTCTTTTTTTTTTTGTGCAAATACAGACAGCTCGAAACAAACACAGCTGCTACTGAAGCCACGACGAACAGAGACAATGCATTTCTTCTAACGGACGCCCCCCCCCCCCCCCACCCCGGAATGGGTTTTTTCTGTGAGGGCCGGCCGCGCATTCGAGTCGCCCGTGATCTACGAGCACGGGCGGGGCCGGCGTGAAGAGTTAATGACTTGTCCACCACTTACAGACGCGCTTGCAGGCCCGCCGCGCACAGTACGCCTACACAAAGCCAGCCAGCGCTCCTCTCAAATCGCCACTGGCGTCTCCCGCAGACACCCCAGCCCTGCAGGACGATAGAAAACGACAAGGGAAGGAGTCTGAGTTAAAGGGTCAGGGGGGGGTCATGTGGAGGCCTGTAAGCCCAGAAAATGGCAACCGATCCTGAGTTAGCGGGAGTCTGCTGTAATACGCACCACTGAAGGCACTTTTTCCTTTCTTTTTTCTTTAAATGACAGTGCTTCTATTTAAGGAAAATGAAACCAGGAAGGACTTTCATATCTGTGTTCTTCTTCTGTTTGCCTCAGACAGACCTAAAGCTCCTGCAGAGAGGCAGGCGGGGGGAGCGAGGGAACGGCGGGAGTAAAGTCACAGTAAAGGAAAACCACTTTGAAAAAAAAAAACCAAAAACCTGAACCGAGCATCAGACCAGAAAGGAAAGCGAGTACAAACTGTGAGACGCCTGCGATTCAGATCTTCCGTTTCAGTCTCTCGGCAGGAGACGGCGGACAAAAAGCCCCCGAAAACACAGCAGCGGCTCGTCTGATTGGTCGGTGCGAACATGGCGTTGTTAACTTGGGGTCAATCAGGGCGCGCGCGTGTGTGTGTGTGTGTGTGTGTGTCGGGGACACTGCATGGCGGGCCAGCTGACTGTGTGTGTGTGTGCGTGTGCGTGTGTGTGCGTGCGTGTGTGAGTGGTCGGATCTAATCCTCCCCTCCTCCGTACATGTCAGCCAGCTTCTTGAAGCGGGGGCCCCAGTCGTTGAGGTAGTCGTAGTCCTGGTCCCCCGTGCTGGAGGAGTTGAGGGAGCTGACGGAGCCGGCGGTGGAGCCGCTGCCCTCGTAGTCGAACACCAGCAGGGAGTCGTAGGGAGGAGCTGTGGGGTCGTTGTCTGCTGCCCGCAGACCCTGTGGGGGACGAGGAGGAGGGGGGGGAGATGTTAGGCCCTGCAGGAAACAGCTGCATGGTGATTCATGCTTTCTTTACAACGGTATTTTATAGTAAATTCTCTACTTGTGTCGCATAATTAGCAGGTAATTTAATATATGACAATGCATTCCATTTCATGAACTGATATTTGTATCTAGAATTCAAAATGTGTACTAGTAACAAGAAGTTAATGTAGCACTCTAAACAACAGCAGAGGTATGAACTACCAGCTCAGAATGGTGCTTTCTGTTATTTATCTATTCTTTGTTCAATATCACAATTCACATATCACAAATAAACAGTTGGACTGGGATCCACTGCATCGTGCATGTAAAACTTGTGGAAAAAACATTATATTGATGTTGTACTCGCTCTGCATTTCATGTCCCGGGTACACGTGGCTCAGAGGGTCTAAATTATTACCACCATTATCTAATCAGGTAGTCTCATTGAGATCAGGATCTGTGCAGAAACACGAACGCACAGTCGATAGCAAAGAGCATCACGACCTTTAGTTGAATAATGAACGATGTGATGCATCCGGCTCATAAATATATCGTGTCTGCTAAAGGCGAGGCTGAGAATCTTTACTAACTAGAGCAAAACATGCTAAACGCGAGCGTGTGATTCATTCATTGCAGTCGTGATGTAATGAGAATTTCCACTAAAGCATCAAAGAGCAACGGGACCCGTAACTTAAATCGACGAACGAGGGCCGACGGACCCCGACGAGAAGCGACTTCATCCCGTTCAACACAGGGAGACGCTGAGCAGCTAAAAAGCCTCAAACCCCCGAGGGAGGGGTTGGCGGGGGGGTGGGGGGGGGGCAGGAACACCATGTGTTTGCCGTGTTTGTGTTTTACCAGACTGCTGGAGCGAGATCAGGTGATGCACATGCGTGTGTGAGAGAGAGTCAAGGCTGGGTGGATCAAAGCCGAACAGCTGCCGACACCTCTGGAGTGTGAACGCGTTGTCGTCAAGTCTGTCAATCAGCATCCTCCCGCACCGCTGGAGTTGTGTGTGTGTGTGTGTGTGTGTCAACATAAAGCTACCGTGAAAGCGAATTCCGCGCCCCCTCCCATCACCACTCTGGAGTTTACACATTGGACGTCTCCCAGAAGTGTCCCCCCCCCTCCGTCCCCGTGCATTTACCTCGTGGATGAAGTCCCCGATGTCCCCGGGGTGCGGCACCACGGGCCTGATGGGGTACTGTGACTCGGGGATGACGGGACGCTCGTCCACCCTGCGGACCCCGGGGGGCTTGCTGATGATGTGCTCCAAGGAGTCGGGCTGCTGCAGCTGGCTCAGGTCGTAGTCCTACACGGACGCGCAGGCACACACGTCAGCGCACAACGTAGTGCGTGTCATAGTGTGTGTGTGTGTGTGTGTTTCTCAGGGGCTCACCTGGTCTTCCTCTCCGCCTCCCCTCTTCGTCGTATTTGAGGATGTTGTCTCTGACATCGTCTTCGGGGTCGATGAGCAGCTGCTTGGTGTGTCTCTCCTTCTCTCTGCGCTTCATCCACACCACGAAACAACAGCACCATGCCTGCACACACACACACACACACACACACACACACAGGAGCACGATAAACCTTCAGGCCACACTGCAATATTCTGCATCAGTGCCCCATGCAGTCCGCATCCCTTCGGTCCAAAATGTCATCAGCCGGAGACGTATTTGGGGGGAGAACGTCTTTCTTATTCTGATTGTGTCGGACGGAGCCGAACACAAACATGAGCGCATTGCTGCCGCTTCTCTTTGGACGTCAAAAAAAAACACACCAGACGACAAGAAGAGAGGCCAGAGGACTAGTGTCCGTCCCGTGTCCTCGAGTCCCTCAGTCTCTTTCTTCTTTTAACCCTCGCCACCATGTCTCCTTAGGTCGAACCAGGTCAGGCTTTACACAGTTGGTCAACATCTCACGGCTTCCTCTCCCTCCTCCTCCTCCTCCTCCTCCTCATCGTTTTGGCTGTTGTTACCGCGTCGTTATGCATCGGTCGCGTCTGCGTGTTATTTTCCCTCCCTGAGAGAGAAATGGCGAAGCCTAATGCGCAGCGCTTGATCAAACGCGTCGAAATGAATAAAGGACTACATGTGAGTTACTTCCCCAGACCGGCGGTGGTGGGAAATCATCCGACGCGTTTAAAATATGCAGGACAAAACCCCGCAGCCGACGGCACGAGTCACTGGCAGCACAGAAATCAGCAGATCATTTTCCACGAGCAGAAAAAAGGAGACAGAAAGATGCCGGAGAAGATGCCGAGCGCACGAGGCCATAATGCATAATACAAACTATCGCTCGCGTTGTTGTTGCCGCAGTCGGGTGAATGTTTCTAAACAAAAACAGAGTGTGTGTGTGTGTGTGTGTGTGTGTGTGTGGAGGGGAGCTGGCACTCACTGAGGAGGATGATGATGCAGATGAGGATGGAGATGATGGCGCCGGTCCCCAGGCCGGCGGCCGCCACGGCCCCCAGGGTGGTGCAGTCTCCGTGCTCGTCGCAGGGACACACCTTGACCTTGATGACCGACCTGTTGGACAGAGGCGGGTTCCCGGAGTCGGAGACGATCACGGGCACCTCGTACACCCCCGGCTCCAAGTATATCTGGTACCGCAGCCCCAGGCGAGCAAAGTCCCCTGGAGAGGAGAGGAGACGCGAGTCACTTCTATGCTTCAGTGGCTTAAAATGATGGTGTTCATTATTCATTTACTTCACACAAGAACATCTAAATATCTTCATTATTTATTCATAATTAAGAAAATGTGGTCCAAAAAGGATTTTGTTGGTTTTAAAGGGCCCTTTGTAATAAACCCACTAAAATCATGTTGAAAAATTATTATTATTAAATATATCATATGGAAAATATATGTAATCAGTACAGTTCTACCTCCAATGATGAATTTAGCCTCATGACGAGCGTCTCATCTGATTTTTAGTCATTTAGTGAATAGAATCAAGACTCGAAACTAATACACAGCAGCGCCCTCATGGACGCTCGGCCTCCACGTGATCCTCGTCCTCACCGCTGATCCGAGAGATGGTCCAGTTGCGTCGGATGCTGCTGGGGAAGTTCGGCAGCTCGAAGACGAAAGGCCCGGCGTTGGGGTCCGTGTCGGCGTCGGCCGCCGTGATGTTGACGCCGTGCACGTTCTTGTTGACCCGCTCGCAGATCTGAGACTCCCGGGGTATGAGCGCCGGGGGGTTGTCGTTAATGTCTATCAGGTAGATCTGCAGCGTGCCCGTTCCGCTGGCTGCCGGAGAGCCTGGGAGGGACGGGAGGCAACGTAGTTAGGGAAGGCGAGCGCTGGGAGGGAGGCCAGTGATGTCACAGAACAAAGGGGACGGGGAGAGAAGAGGTGAAAGGAGCCGGGTTCACGCCAGAGGGACGGACGCCACAGGACGATCTGCCCGTTTGGCCTCGGCGCACCGTCGAAGCCCATCAGAGGCGCAACAACGATGACTGCAACACTATCAGACAAGTCGGTGCGTATTTACAGCCCGCCGGGTCACCGATGCAGTCCGGCGGCCTCCAACGCACCATTCACCTAAATGCAGGGAGGATCCTCCCCCCCCCACACACACACACACACACACGCATGAAACCCCGTCCTGCCCACACATCGCTCCTGGTAATGAATTGCTTAGCGTGAAGGCAGTCGGGACTATTGAGACCGACTAACAGCGCATCGCGTGATGCATTCGGTTTATCCAACGGAGGCAGCGCACATTCATTAAGTCTGCGGCGCCGCGGCGGAGCCTCGGATTCAGCGCATCTGTGGTTTAAAGTTAGTGGACTCGCCGGCATTAATCAATGGTTTAATCGGGAACTAAATGTGATCAAATTACCCCGTAAGAGGGGGGGGGGGGCGACCCACCTCAGGAATCTGTTCCTGCACAGCACTGGATGGGCTCTACTCTACATGCAGATGTGTCTAATTAGGCTGCTATTAAACCGGTGAAATTGTTGCACAGTCCACACTTGTCAATTGGCGGAGATGATCGTGGCGGCTTGAGACCTTTGCCGTGTTGCTGCAGTCGGCCGCCATTGCAGGTGCTGCATCGCTACTGTAATAACATGCGCCGATGCACACAGACACACAGCTCATCTGCAGACGGCCCCCCCGAAGCCCTCGGCATTGATTGAACAGAGCTGCAGACTTTATAGAGAGCCGGGAGTAGAGAATAGACACTTAAAAGAATCGGAGCGAGATAGTAGAGTTTGGGGGGGGGGGGGGGCATGAATGTGTACGTGTAAGTATGAAAACAGAGCGCTTAGCCGCATAAAGCTCAGAGCTGTTTATCGAGTGGGTGTCAGGGGGCGACGACCCGTAGCCGCCACCAATTACGAGTCGTTTCCCCGCCATGCCCCACTAGCCGAGCCATCGGGTGGAATGGGGCAACCCCGGGAGGCCCGTCCCCGGGAGGAGATAAGGCCGATGTAATTTCCAAAGATTTATGCAAAGCTGACAGATCTGCCAATTAAACACGGCAGCGGAGCAGGACGCTGGCGACGTGAGGAGCCGGAGCCGGTTAGAGCCGGGCGGCTGTAAGTGAGTCAGGCAGCTCGGTCCGACTGCAGGAGGCAAGTGGCTGTGAGAAGAGATGCAGTCTGGACTTTCTGTCACACTCCGGGTCCCGATGAGACAAGACAACCAATAGATATTAGTCTCTGGCTGTATATTCAGGTGAAAATGTTCAGATGAAAAGTTTTATCTGACGGTGACACGTAACGTAGCATATGTACCCGGTGAGCATAAGACGTAATTTAACATTGTAACATTAAAATTGTGTTGAAATGAGGTCTGAACATAGACGTTTCTACGAATAGACGTTGAAAAAACTTTCACTTTTAAATCACTTCGTCTTTTGAACCAAAAAATGCTCGCTGGGTAGTCACAGCGGTGACCTTCAATACTACAATAGGTTGTACACCCCTACAATGTGGGTCGTCGTGGCGCAGGGGTTAGAGAAGGTGTGCTGGGAAGCACAAGGTTGCTCGTTCGAGTTCAGGCTGCCCCCATGTTCCATGTAACATAACCCCTAATTGCTCCCCAGGCAAAAATGTGAAAAAAACCATGGGTTTAAAGCGTAATGTAAGTTGCTTTGGATAAAAGCGTCTGCTAAATGACCTGTAATGTAATATGGAAACTATGTTCTAAAAGTTAGACCCCAGAAAGCCCCCTTTAACGTGCACCATTTTGAGAAAGGTACACGGAGAAGCGTTAACGTGTGCGGCTCACATGCGGAGTCTTTCCACCCTGCGGCTGTGTTAATCCCAGTCACGTATGGGGGACATGTGGAAGCAGCTTGCCGCGGCCGATAGGAGCATTATGTGGGTTTTAACCAGCTAAATAAATAATTATGTGTGTGTAAATTCCTCAAAAGGATTTGTATTAACTCCCTTTTTTTTTTTTGTTGATGGCGGCTCAGAGACGTGAGGCACGGCGGCGAAAGGACTCAAAGAGAGAGACGACCGTTTTTTCCTATGAAGAAAAAAAGCTGAACAGAAGCAGGTGGGTGCGTCTGACGAGGGTCTCGCCCTGTCAGATTGTGTCAGGTGGGGGGTGGGGGGGCGACGCCTTGCTGTCACCACCTCCTCACGTCCCCGTCCTCCTGTCCCGAGTGTGTCAGAGCACTTCTTACCATAATCCCTCTCACGGTGAGACAGCTGGCACTCCAGCAACACACACACACACACACACACACACACACTGACGGTAACCGCTGGATTCACAACTTCCTTTATTCAACAAACATCGCAGCTCGAAAAAGTGCACTAAACAGAGGTCAGATGAAGGAGGTCAGATGAAGGAGGTCAGATGAAGGAGGTCAGATGAAGGAGGTCAGATGAAGGAGTTTTTCAAGCAAAAGGTAACAACTTTGAAGAGGAAACAAAGTCCCCGCAAACAACACGGAAATGAGGTGAGATGTTTGTGAGGAGCGAGTCAACCTCTAATCCTCCCGCCTCCTGCTGCCCATCTGTTGTCTGCTTCTGTCAGTCACCGGCGACGCCACACACACGCACACAGGCTCACCTTAATGCTTCTCCCAATGCGATCATTCTCCACACGCGTACAAATGCGGCGGCGTTCCAGAGCCAGCTCGCTCTTTGAGTAAAAACACAAGTACACTGCACATCACTGATAAGGCAATTCGGGGACGAGGGAATAAGAAAAACACCAAAAACCCCTCACTTCCACTTGAGAAAGAGGGGCGGGCGTATTTGTTTGCTGTGATTGAGTTTGTGCTCAGTTAAACTCCAGCTTCGACTCTGAGGCAGAACAAATATAAATGGCACATTGTGAGCGAGGGAGGGGAGGCGGGCGGCAGATAAGGAGGCCGGGCAGGGCAGCGTCGCCGGTGTGACCAGGTTGTGTCGACCCGCACACGCGCGGCACATGGACGCCGCGGAGCTTCAGCGTCCTCGCGCCGCCGCTGAATACGTCTATGTTTAAAAAAATAAATAAAAAAACCCCCGAGCAACCCTGTCTGTCACTCCAGCGCGTCGTCACCTGACTCCCTTGACCTCGAGCGTGTGTCAAGCGTACGAGGTTTTGGAGGTGAAAGCGCTTCAAAGGTTTTATTTCACGATGCTTTTTAGTTCCGCAGAGGAAAGATCAGCAGGAAACATATTCAGATAAACAATGCATTGTTTTTGTAGAAAAGGCAATCCACTTTTCATCTGCACCGTATAACAAGAGTCACTTTACGTCTGTAAAATCTGTGCGATGAAGACGTGGGGAAGAGGACGCATGCACACACACACACACACACACACACACACACACACACACACACTCACACACAACGGACAACAAATGCTCGCTGATGAAACCGCGTGACTCTCACCATTGTCTGTTGCCAGGAATGTAGCTTCGTATATATTGTTCTTCACATAGATGGACTCCCGGTCGAGCATCGCCGTGGTTACGATCTGCCCGTTGGTCCTGTTGATGGACAGCCAGTCGGCGAGGTCGCTCAGCTTCGAGTACCTAAAGACACGCAGGAAGACAGATCGCCGAATCAGCGCGACCTTCACACGCTTTAATTCTTCATCGACTTCTCCTCCAGAGCCCGCCGGCCGACGGTCAATTCCAGCCCCATTTTTCACTCCCGTGTGCCGCCCATTGAAGTCAATTAGCCCCCCAGTTAAGCACTGCTGCACCCGCCTCTGTGCGTCGCGTGTCCACATTCAGGGAAGTGTTTGCTTATGCAGGAGCTAAGCTCTCCTGCAGGTCCATGCACACGCCTGAGGTAGAGTGTGTAGGTTTGCAAATGTCACAGTGTGTGTGTGTGTGTGTGTGGGGGGGGGGTGATAGCATCTCGGTACCGATCGTCAGACAGGAAACGGGATGCGGTGGCAGGTGGCGACATCCCCCGGGATAAAGGGCGAGGAAGGAACGGGGGATCATCACCGGGATTGAAGCGCAATCTCACTCTGATCTCACTGTTCTTGTTTCTCCGGCGTTTGTTCCTCACTTTCAGTTCTATCAGATCTCACAGCCGCCGCCGCCGCCTCGGCTTCCTTTGCTTTTGTATTCATACATTTTCTTATCCCGCGTCCGTATCTTCTCATCCTCGGCTTGTTCCCTCCGCGACGCCGAGTTCATCAAGTGGCGCCTGGCTCCCGAGGAACCTTGGCCTCACACAACGAGGTCTCCACATCACTCCGGCTTCACGCACCGAACGCTTCCAGCTTTTAAATCCATCTCATTTCAAATGGACCCGACCTTAACCTCGCTTTTATTCTGCGGTCTGCTAACTCTCTCCGTTCATTTGCGCTTGATTAAAATACCGCACGTACGCTTGCTTGCTTGCTTGCTTGCGGAGGAGGAGGAGGTGGAGGAGAGTGAAAGCCTGGGAGGCGGTGAGGAGAGCATAATCTCTCCCCTGCAGCGAGGGAGGTGGGATTTTCCCAGCAGGCAGTGGGCATGATCCCCACGCGCCGCGCCGTGCGGGGAAGGGGGATCACGGCGATGACATTCCCACACTCTAGACGCTGTGACGCGGGCCGGTTCCTGCCCACCTGCCGCTGACCGGCGGGCTGCGAACTGAATACAGTGAGCCCGACACAGTGGGAGGGAGGGAGGGGTAATAAAAGAGGGGGGGGATTATGCTGGTTGATGGGTGGGGGGAGAAAGGGAGCCCGGGACGGGAGACGGGAGAGGAGACAGCACGGCTGTGTGATGATGGTTTTATGAAGCCCATTAGGACGCACTCGATACCCGCTGCTGCTCTGCGTCTGTCCGCTGTGCCAAACTAGCACTCTGTCACGGCTGAAATACATAGAAATACATAGAAATGTGTATTATTTTCTCCGTGCGATGGAGGGCAGACAAGCTGCTGCAACCTTTACCGGGAAAACGGAAACTAAAGGGTGCAAATAGACAGAGCATCGCACAGAAATTTTAAAGGGTACAATTAGCGTAGCATTTATTTATTTATTCCGTGATAGAGCCAGGTTAGCTTGACCTCCCTTTTTGCTTCGGCTAATTGTCTCCTCGATCCAACCTCTTGTTTAATGAACACACATGAGCGGAGATTCCATCCGCTCGTCCAACTCGCGCTATTTTCCGAAAAAGTGAGGACAATAAATGGAAATGTTTTGGAAATTGTGCGTGAGGTTGATTCTTTGCCGTGTGGCTCTAATGATAAAAGCCGTGACACAAAAAAAAAGTCACTTTTTCGGATTGGACCTGGCCGTTATAAAGTGGATCGAACAAACAGCCAACAGTGTCTTTGTTGACGAGTCCGAAGTTGCTGTGGACACTTGCCAGTCCCCGTCTCTAACTTTTAATGAAACGCTCGGCCAATTCTGTGTCTTTGCGGAAAGGTAAACAGTCCATATTGACTTTGGCGCTGCTCTTGAAACCAAGTTAAATCTGGTCTAACTCCTCCATGTTGAATTATTCCTTCCTGTGGTTCATTCCAATTGCTTTTCCCGAGCTGTCCGCCACCTGAAGGTTCCTCTCATTTCGCGGCGCGAGTGTACTGGATGTATGATTAGCCGCGGCAGGTCGGTGATCTCAGCGAGCAGCAGGGGGGGGGGGGGGGGGAGGGGGGAGGAGGGGGGAGGATGACATTTATTTTTCAAACCCCTGACCCTGAGGATGAAAAATGCATGTCGCAAGCTTAGCCAAGGAGGTCCGGGTAATCATTTATGCCGGTGTCTCCGGTGCCTGTGCCCCCCCCCCCCTTCACCGGTCGGGTGTCTGGCAGGCGATGCACGATGCCTCACTCCCCCCCCCCCCCTCCGTCTCCCCCCCCCAACACCTCCTCCGCAGTCCCAACAGCACAGCGCCAGTCGGCCCCTCTGTTGGTGAGCAGCCCCGACCGCTCAAACCCCGACCCGGATCCCGTTCACCATGCTGGGCTTTGGCTGTTAAACCCCCCGTCACCCTCCTCTTCACGCGTCTCGGACGTCAGTTTACTTGTAACTTGTTCCCAAGATGCACAGAATGGCACTCTTGAACGGGCCACGGAGGAAAAAACAGGTACGGAACCAATGAGGTCAAAGTGAGTCCAGAGAGAACGCAGCTGGTGACTTTGCCGCCTTTCTAAATTATAACATACACCCAATTTACTCTCAATTGCAGGGAAATTAGCATGCAAATGTGTTCACATCGTTTCCCCAGAGAAAATGGGAACAAAGCGGCTGCTGGAGTGTGAGTGCGAGTGCGAGGCTTGCAGCGCGGTGGTGTTATCGGCCTTCCATAACTCAGCCGCTGCTGGTCGAGCATCACACCGGCCCGCCCACCACCATAAACAAGGACTGCATCCTGCACGGGACCGCCACGCCCGACCTTAAGCTCCTCCCCTTCGACACATCCGCACAGAGCCCAGCGCACTCAACAGACCACCTCAAAGTTAGTGGGAGGCCACAAAGCGGTCGTCTGCTGCTGTCGAGCTGCCAGCGGGGCGGCGAAGGAGCTGCTGGTCATTTAGAGGTTGGTTTCCATTTGAAAGCCAGGCCGAGAGGCCGAGCGCAGAGGAGGAACACTGCAGGTGGACGTAACGCTGTGTCAGCCGTCTGGTCTCGAGCCAGCTGCTCTCTTTATCCCGCCCCCCTCTTTTTCCCTCCCGTTCTCGCTCTCCTGCGACTCGCGTGTGTGTGTGTGTGTGTGTGTGTGTGTGTGTGTGTGCACCTGCACGTATGCACACATGCAGTCTACACAATGCGCACGCTTCTGATTACCCCAGAGGCGCTTGCTCCCTATTAACCTTCCCCTCCCCGCTCACAGTTCTCTGGTGGCTAATAAACTTCCCACAGTCAGACTTTGAGAGATCGCCGGTGCCAAAATACAGTCCCCTTGGTGAACTTCGACCCCTAACTACTGACATGGAACCCATCCAAGAGTCTTTTTATCCTGCTGTTAGTGCATACGGAGGTATTCCTGGCCAGTATTGCACTAACAATGCAGCAAGCCAAACCTCGACCAGACTGCACTGTCCTCCTAATAAGAATCTCATCGAACATCTGATGGCGCGTTGCGCCGCGGCCACCCGGTACCTGATCGTCTGCTGCATCTGCAGTCGGTCGGGATCGGAGGCCGAGAAGGTGGTCAGGCTGGTGCCGGCGGGGACGCCCTCCTCAAAGCGGATGTGTTTGGGGTTGGTGGGGAAGTACGGGGGTTCGTTGACGTCCTGGACGGATATGGTGACCCCGGCGGTGGACTGGAGCGCCGACTGGATGCCGCTGGCCAGGTGCGCCTGGTTGGACACCACCACCGTCAGCATGAAGGCCCGGTTCATCTCAAAGTCGACCGGCTGGAGGGGGGAGGGAAGAAGGGGCGGCGCGTTAACGGTGTTTGATTCTTAAAAGGTGGAGCAGCCGGCGGTTGGGGGGCGTTTGGATTGGTGCTCAACGCGGCGACTTCAGTCCTTCTAGACATTACTGCCCTGTATCTTTACATATGGATGTTCTTCACATCCAGAATATCTATCTATCTATATACTGTATATATATATTTATATATACATCACCAATAATAACATAGGAATACTTTTATTAATTATTTATTAATAGTCAGTATTATACTTTAGTGTGAATCTGTACAGTGGGTAGACAAAATATAATGAACACATGCACCACAATCCACCTCTGATGAAATGGATTTATAAAGTCGATTTTAATGTTTTTTATTGCATCGTTTTCCATTATATGCGTCTATTATATATAAATGTATCTCGCAGTGTGAAAGATTTACATTTTCCCAGAAAAACAAATTAAAAGCTTTAAAAATACTTTCTTTACAGGTAATACAAATAGATTATTACCACTGTTGGTAGTATTATCATCACTATCACACACCATGCCATGAATTTAAGCGGCAGTGTTAAAATCCCCTCTTAATATGTCTCTGTGACTGGGGAATATGCGATGAACCTCGTTGATGATGAAGGACGTGATAAATGAACAGATGCCGTGTCAAGTGTTCCCCTGATGAAATAGACCCATATTCTCCTCACACACACACACACACACACACACACACACACACACACACACACACACACACACACACACACACACACACACACACATCCCGAGCAAAGGCAGTGGGGCTTAGACTATTCATAGGGTGCTGTCATGGCTCAGCCTTTAGAGCGTGTGTGTGTGTGTGAGTGTGTGTGTGTGTGTGTGTGTGTGTACTCTACAGGGCTTTTTACCCGCTGAGCCTAAACCAAAGTGACAGATCCGAGCTTCACTAATGAAGACTACACAATCAGGTTCAAATGACAACAACAACAAGCACGGAAAAAAAGAGAAAACAAATACGGCGCCTGCAGGCCCTGCTGGCACATTTCCTAAATGGGCGGCTGATGATCAGCGCCTCGTCTGGCGGCGACGCTAACGACTCCGAGCGCGTCACGGCGTCGCGTCGCCTGGTCGGGTTGACGAGGACGCCCAGTAGACGATGCGTCTGTGCGGGCGCTTGTAGTTTGTGCGAGCAAAAGGAAGCACGAAGGTGTGTGTCTGTGAGTGTGACCCGGAGGAACACACCTGCAGGAGGAGCCGCGGCTCATCGATCTGCAGCGGTATTCACAGAGTGCAGCCGCGGGCCAACCGACACATGCACGCACACCCGGGGGGACGCCACAGGGGAGGGGGGGGGGGGGGTGAGAGGTCAATGACCCGGCTTCCATCTTCAGCCTCGTGAGTTTTTCACTTTCTCTCGTTCCTTTTCCCTCTCACCTAATTTGCTCCGTCGGACTCTTTACTTCCCCTTTGGGGGGGGGTCCTGCCTCTTGTTTCCTGGCTTCCTGATATCCCCGTGGAAGCTCACTGCTACTCGGCCGCCCGCTGGATTTCACATCAGCGAGCGGAATGGATTATTAAAGGCAGCCATCTAGAGATAATGAAGAGGAGCCAAATGCCAATGCTCGTCGCTCGGGGCGCCGCGGGAATTACAGCCTGTTGTTATTGCTATTTTCTAAACAGTACTGTAGGATGTGATGCGATGCGATGCGATGCGATGCGATGTGATGCGATGTGATTTGCGGCACTCAGACGAGAAGACGAACGCTGTTTGGGTCCGCGGGGTCGGGGCGAACGCGCGGCGTGACGCATAACGCGGCCCGACGCGATGGCCACATTTCACAGCGAGCCGCTCGCGGATGAGCCCATCGCACACACACATACATCCACACACACACGCACACGCACACAGAGCAGAAGCACAATAGCTAGTCTATTCTTTTATTATGCTCCGGATTGGATAGAGCCCCTCGGGACAATCTGCGTCTGAGAGGTTGAACACGAACACAGCAGGTTGTTACAAGACACGCTTTTGTTGTCGCTGTCTTTTGCCACGGCAACGTTATGAGTGGATAAAAAAAGCGTCGCCTTTGTAATTGAGAAATCAATACCTCATTTGCCACAGTGGTTTCACCGGCCATTGTGTTTAAGTCTGCGCGTTGGGGGGGGGGGGTCCTCCCTCTGAAGGGCGCAGCGGCCTCCGATCCCTCAGTGGGACGTAAGGGGGCATACGGAGGGCAAAAGACTGCAGCCCGTTCAGCTCCTGCGCTCTATTGTTGCTGCCCGGGGTTCAAATCCAGAGCGCTGCCAGCATCCTACCTTCATCACGGTGACCAGGCCGTCGTTGCTGACCGGGTCGGTGCGGATGGTGAAGTGCCCCGACGGGTCCCCGCTGATGATCCGGTAGACGGCGTTCCAGTTCGGCGAGTGCGGCTGGTCGGCGTCTATCACCGTCAGATTGGCCACCGCCAGGTCCACTCGGTTCTCCGGGACCTCGCCGGAAAACTGCAGAACGCAGGAGAAAACAAGGCGGTCATTGAGGCTGCTGCTCTGGGACCCGTTGAAGTCCGGCACATTCTACAGAAAAAAAACGGGAAAACGACGTGTTAATAAAAGATTTTTCTCAATAGAGCCGACCATCCTTTTCAAGTTTTCAGGTAGAGTGAGTTTAATGATCCGGGCTCCTTTCCACAGCGGAGTAGTTACCGTGCAGTAAACAGCTGCACACCAGTAAGCACACGCACACAAGGGCGTCGTTCCACTTTTACAGTTTTCTGCAGTTTTTTTTTTTTGCCCACACTCCAGCAGTAACATTTAATTCCCTTGAAAGCCGGTGTGACAAAGGACGGGAGAATGGCTCAGCAGAAAGGAGGCGGCGGCGGGGAGGGTTCAAACAGCTGTTTGAGTGCATGTGAGGGGCTTTTAGTCGTCCCCATTGCTGTGCAAACACATGTGCTCCGTCCCGATAAGCCTGATGAGGAGTGAGCCGCTGTCCGTCATATGTCTGCTGCGGTGGGGATTGATCAAAGCTGCACAGGCTCAGGGGGATGAAGCCCAATAAGAGACGAACCCACGACAGCTTAGAATGCAACGCCACCCTGCAAACCCCAAACACCCACCGGACCTCCATCCGATCAGGTGACGCCACGACGAGGGGAGGCCGGCGTGTCGTCGCCTGGCACGCGGGCAACAGGCCCCCCGCCCCCGGCGCCGCGGGGGTCGCCGCGGGCTGACGGGAGAGCCACTGAGCCGCTTATGTGAGTGCAGGATATCAAGGAGCAAAGCCCCCGACCAAACACGCCGACAGACCATAATACCCCGCCTGGCAACCCGCGCATCACCCAGCAAACAGCCGACAGCAGCGGGGCGGATTAAGGGGCCCGCGGAGACTCTGTGACATTCTTAAGACGGCGGACGCGTCCGGGGCCGGCCGCGAGGCGGCTGCCCGCCCCGGATGAGTCGGCGGGCTGTTCGGAGGTGGCTCCTGAGGGCCCTCGAGCGTCTCTCTGTCTGGCAGTAATGAGGAGAGTTAACCGGTGATGATGGAGGACTTTGAGGGGGGGGTCACCCGTATGGTTACGCACTTCTCCTCTCATTAGCTCTCTGTCGGGCGGGTGGAGTTACAAGCATCCGGAGCTCCAGCTTTAATAGCCTTATTTTTCCCGTGGGGGAACTCTTACATTGTACGCCGGCTCTTTAATTCCCTTTAACATCAGTGTAATAACTTTGCAAATTAATTTCAGTTCAGCTGCAAGTAGTAGTGAGACTTGACCAACATAATAGTCAAATAACTGAGACGACTGTGCTCAGGTTGCATTTCAGAGAAGCGGCTCCTACATTCACGCTCACTGAGCCATTGTTCCATCTTCTTTAAGTCTTTCATCTGGAGCTTTGACGTCTTGGTAGCGTCGTTGTCAAAAAAAGTGGATTTTTGATTCAACGCGTGTGTGCTTGAACAAAGAGCATTTCAATCTGTCAGGGAAAAACCTCGGGGTTTGTTCCCTTTCCTTCACTCTCGGTGATTTATTAGCCGAATGCTGTGTTCTAGCGCGCCGTACACTGTGGTGGGGTTCGTCCTGACAGCGGATTGACGCATGGCGGTGGCGTCTCTCCTCTCTCACCGGATCTCATGGCCCAGAGTGCACTCCGCTTTTATCGCAGCAAAGCGCCTCTCGCCCCTCTGTCATTACTACAGCTGAAGACAACGCACGTCCTGCATTGAGACACGCCGCCCCCCGACGGAGTGAGGGTGGGTCTCTTTATGCAGGAACGTCCCGCGTGAGCCGGCGCAGGAACATTTATCTGCATCGAGAGAAACGATGCACAGCGCGCGTGCACCCGGAGCCCCCGCGTGCACCAAACCTCGGGCCGCCTTCCGACAAACGGGGCGGCGAGGAAATATTAATCATCAACATTAAAAGACAAATTCCCCAAACTTTATGTTTCTGGGACACGTTGAAAGACCCATGGGGGGTTTATTGCAAATGCTAAATATTTGCATAATGGCCTGCATTCTCAACAAAATGGCTCTTAAAACGTTACCGCACAACTAACGCGGGTGATTTATTGAGGGAGCTGTGCCTGTCGTGACTCCGAAGCCTCCACTAAAGCTGATCATCAATATCCGTGACCGTATTAACTCCCCTCCGCGGCGATGATGGAAATGCACTCAAACATGGTGGAATACAGTTAGAGAATATCAATCTATAGCTAGCCGCGGTTATCAATACGCCAGTGTGAGTGGGGGATCTTAAATCGGTGAGGGGTGGCGGGGGATGGGGGGGGTTTCAGGGAGGGCCTTTGATTTACAGCAGGGCGCGTCTGAGCAGAAAACAGCTCCTGTGACCGAAACGATCCCTCATTGCTTCTCCCCTCGCCATCGCTCACTCATCACTTCTTGTCTCGGAGGCAACAGGGTGGTCTGCTCATAACTCCCCCCCCCCCCCCCCACTCCCGGTCTTCTCCCGTCTCCTTTGTGTCTGTCTCCTTCCTGCTGTGTGTGATGTTCTCTGATGAGCTCTACGGTTTGGACGCATGCTCAGCGCCAGTGCAAACTAATCACCGCTAACGGGTCTCGATGGGTAGCGCGAATGCTAACGCTAACTCCTCTGCTAGCGCCTCAAAGGGCCGAGCCTAACGTAGCGGCAGGGTGCTCTCGCCACTGTACAACCGGGACAACTCACAGAGACACCCGAAGCGCAAAGGACACGCCACATGGAATAGAAGACGAAAAAAAACAAAGAATAAAATTGTGAATATTTGGCTCCGGGTCGCATCCGTTAAGAGACTGAGTGTAAAGAGAGCGGAGGAAAGGAAAGTCAACTTCTGAACAAGGCAAAGTGCCCCGCTTCACTTGTAAATGTTGTGTCGGTGCTTGTGAATTGCTGTCACATGACATACTCTTCATTACGTTGGGCTCTTTCCTCTTCACATGCTCTCAGTGGTGACCTTGTGCCACGTGATCATCGCTTTGAAAACCGCTGTCGTGACAACAATCATTAACAATTTGCTGGCTCTCGTTTCCCTGCTGATGAAAGTCAATGGTATGGATTCCTTGTTCCTGTGTGTGTGTGTGTGTGTGTGAGCCACCCTCCTTCACTGCCCTTGTGTAAATCTTCCTTTGTAACGACATAAGTGTTGTCTCCGTTTCCTTATTCTATCCCTCCCTCCTTCTCCACTCTCCATTCCTCCTCTTCTCTTAAGTACAACCTGTCACCCTTTAGCCCTTTTTTCTCCTGTTCCTTTTCCGTTCAAACACACTAATCGTCTCCACCGCCTCCTCCTCCTCCTCCTCCCTTATCGCAGCGACTCACGGTCCTGGAGGTCAGCATGGGCGGGTTGTCGTTGATGTCCGTGACGGTGATGATGGCCGTGGCCGTGTTGGAGAGGCCAAAGTTCAGGTTGCCCTCCATGTCGGTGGCCTGCACGATGATGGTGTACTGCGAGACTTTCTGCGGAGAGAAAGGAACAACACAACGTGCAGTTATTAGTCTCCTCCGTCAGCCCAGAGCAGCATCCGCAGAGTGTGCTTCCCAGGGGACGGGGTTCTGTTCTACAGCAGCTGTCCGTGCTCTTGTTTGAAACACAGAATCGGGGGACGGACAGAGATTAATAGACTAGATCCACGGAGCAATAACAGGAGGGAATGATGAATGCCATCTCTCCCTCTGAAATGACGCCGCGTCACTTCACGAGGAGCCCGAAATGGGCTCGCCTCGTTTCGTTTTTTTCTGCACTCGGCTGCTTCTCGCCGTCTCTGCCGGCGTCCCGGCTCGTCTTCTGTCCCGCGGTGCAGTTAATGGGCTGCAGGAAGGATGGAGCGCGGGAGCCGACAGCCCGGGTAATAGGTCTCTTCACTGAGATTCCCAATTACATTCCCAGTGTCTCCCTCACCTGCTAATTACCGAGTAAATATCCCAATTAGGCCAAGATGCCACATCAGGAGGATTAGACAGCTCCTCTCATCTCGATGCTAGACGAGATGCTGAACTCCAACCCCGTACACACACACACACACACACTCTCATTAACACCCTTGTGCGTGCGCGCACACACACACCTCTCCATTTAATGTTCAGAGGCAGCGCTCGGCTGACGGTTCCATCAGCCAGTGTACAGCGTGTACACAACACTCTCACTAATTAGACAAGGGAGTAATTATGTAGAGCTCCTCCGAACCTCTCAGCATTGCAACACGGCAGCGCACACAGCTTCCTCTGGAGGACGGAGGTCCGTTACTGTCAACAAGCCCTTAAAAGTCCGCTGCGGACCACTGGAAACCTTTAGAAGAGAACCAGTGTGGGAGTTTGTGAAGGAAGGGAAGAAAACATAAGAGGATGAAAGACGGCGAGGGAGGAGGAGAACCAAAAATAGATGATGGTGTTTTTTTTTTTCACGCCTCCAACACCCCGGACACAAGAGGGGAAGGGCAAAGAGGAAACCTTCAAAGTTTCCAAAGTGAAAGTGGACATGGGGAGCAGCGCAGAGTGCACGCCTAGCATCTTGTGTGTGACGTTGTCTCACAGTTTGGGTTCATGTCTGGTTTTATTTTGTAGTTTCTTGCCTCTGTTCTCCCTGGTAACTTCACTTCCTGCCTTGTCCTGTCTTCCCCTGTGATTGTCTGTCATGTCATGATTGTTTCCAATCACCTGCACCTCCCTTGTGTATTTAAGCCATGTGTGTCTGTTGTCACTTGTCGCGTCACTGTTCAATGTGTGGAAGTCCATGTCCATGTCCCGGTTCCCGGTTCCTGTCTCCGTTTTTGCCCCTTTGCCTTTTGCTTTCGAAAACCTTTTTGACGATTAAAGTCTTTTTGTTTTTGGAGAACTCTGCGTTTGAGTCCTGCCTTCCCCGCCATGCAGCTTCCTGACAGTTTGTGTGCAATGCACGGTGGGAGATGAATGGACTACCTCTGCATTCACGCACCCACACACGGCACACGTCCACATGTGCACAGGAAGAATCCTCAATGGCTCAATCGAGCAGCGATCCACGTTGTAAATATCCAACTTCAAATGATCTCCCGTAAAAAAAGGGAGCAGCTTGGTGCTCACGTGCTCCGGTGTTGATGGCCGACGCTATTTCATCGCCAAATTCCCACCTCATTGTAATACTCATTGTAATGCCTCAGCTCTATTCGCTCACTTCAGTTCTCGGCCCCCACGCACTCTGCTGCCGTTGTTTTATGGAGAGCAGATGTGATTATATGGACCCTGTGTGTTTCTGACAGGTGTCAAGGGCATTCCAGCTCAGATACTTCCACTTTATCTTTCCCACACAAGCTCATACAGTACACACACACACACACACACACACGCCGTGAGCAGGCCACTGCAGTGCGATGTGTTGTTAATAGGTCTGTCACCGCTGACGGTTTGGGGGGGGGTGATCCGTCTCAGAGATTTCTTCGCAGAGTTGTCCCTGACACGTCCATGTCGCCAGAATAAACACATTTGGAACTTGTCACAACTTTTGCAGCTCCGTTCACGCGGTGATTGCAGACAGAGGCAATTCACAAATGCGAGTGTGTGTGTGTGTGTGTGTGTCTGATGACAAATGGCCGAACATCATTAGCGAGTCGCGCTCTCAGAGTGATCATTCATCCGTTCATTCAGTGGAGACGGCCGACCTCTCGATCGAGCCCCGGCGCCACGGTCACGATGTCCCCCGTCTCGCTGTTGATGGTGAACATGTTGGGGATGGGGCTGTGCGGCATCTGGGAGAGGATTCGGTAGCGCACCATCCCGTTGGCCGTGGTGTTGTCGTCGCCGTCGAACGCCGACACGTGCATCACGTAGGTTCCTGGTGGGGCAAAGCATCGCTGTCAGCGCGTTGTGTCCCAGCAGGACAAGAGCAAACCAGGGGGGACTTTTAGACAATTAACACAACAGACAATCCCCCGTTTTTGGATAAAACTCGTAGTGTGCAGACTTATGGTGGGTAACGTGTCGCTAAGGCACATCGCTAACAGTTAGCTGACCCCAGGACTCATTTCTACTTTACCACAAGATTTTAGTGGTCAAAATGAAAACAATAACACCACCGTCGTCTGCACTACAGAACATAGTTTTCCTCAAACGTCAACGTTGCATCATTTCGTGCTAATGCCTTTCCATCTGAGGAGCTACGCAACGTTTAATTCACTGCTCCGCTTAACCACCGTCCCACTAGCAGATGTTAACGACAAACACCGCGCTGATATAATCACGCTGATATTCACGTTGGGGGTGATAATAAACCACCTGGATGCTCCTCGGCAGTCCGTTAACACCTGCTATAACGTGAGAGCATCTTTACCGACCGGCGTCGGCAGGGAAACGTCGCACACCTGCTCCGTGAACAATAAAGACACGCGTGTATATATAATATGCACACGTACAGGTGTGATCGCATTAAATTGTATCTTTTGATCAGAACCACATTGTTGTGATGATAATTACTATGTGCACGTAAGAGATTTGATCCTAAATTGATTCAACTGAAACTGAAAATGATAATTAATCCAACTTTAGCGCAGACATTTAGCATCAGGCGGACTGGGTTCTGCCGGAGAGAAGGAGCCCCTGAATGCACCACGTGTTCGCTGCACTCGTATAACTCTGCGGGATCGCCGCCTGTCACCCGATCGCTCTCCCGCCCTCTCGCAGCCGATTCTAATTGCCCGAGATAGTGATATCACGCCAGTGACAGGCCCTGTCCGCGGATAATTGTAACCGCAGCTCCCGTTTCAAACTTCATTACATTTCAAAGCAACGTTTGTCAATGACTCGGCCGCGGGGAGCACTCCAAAGGCCTCTCAGCGCTACGAGAGAGGGGGGAGGAGGGGGGAGTCAGCGGGAAAATGAGGGCGGGAGAGAGGCCGAGAGAGAAATAGGAGGACAGGCTCCATGTTTGGTTTGATTCCAAGTGGATTGACTCGCGCTCAACCGCCCATCGCCTCTTCTTTCTGGAGATGGAGGGATAGAGCGAAGGAGATGAAGAGTCACAATGCGTCGCACATCGCCGGGGTAATTTCATTAAGCTGCACTCTTTGGGGGTTTAATGTGGTCCCTTTGTACGGGCGTCCTAAGCTGTGCCTGACAGGATTAGGTCCCCATAATGACTCTTTAATTTGCAAACTAATTCAAGTCTGTAATTGGCCTTCCATTGAAACCGCTGGAGCTCTAAACTCTAAAGCTCTCCCCTTTTTTTATGATTTTTGTTCGGCTGAATGTCATGCACGCCGCAGAGACTCGTCCACTGTGTGGGGCAACGCCGCGGGAGGGGGGGACGGGACGGCGGCAGAGAGCACAACAAAACATAAAAGAAAGAAAAAAGGGCGAGAACCTGAACGCCTCCCGGGATCGAGTAATACAATCTGGCTCACAGAGAGCTCATCTCTTAGATTCCCCCCGTCTGAGGATAGACATTAAATGTCCCAGCGGTGCTCCAGCGGGGTACATTTAATCCTCAGTCTCCTCTCCAGCCCGAGCACCCTCTTTGGTTTATGGCCAATGAAAGGCCTCCGGCGGGGGAGACGCATCCTTCCTCCATCCGCCCAATCAGGGGGAATGAAAAACTCTCCCCGGAGTTCTGGGCGGGGGGGGGGGGGGGGGACAACCAAACCCCTCTCGATAGACCATAGCTGCTCTCCCTCCAAGCGCCGTCCATCCGCCCGCCCGCCCGCCCAGCCGGGCTTCATCACCTGGTTTTGAGCCCTCGTCCACGGAGCCGTTGTAGACCTGGTTTTTGAACTCGGGCCTGTTGTCGTTCATGTCGATGACGAAGATGTACAGATCGATGGGGTTCTCCACCTGGTTCCCGTTCATGTCCACGGCATGGGCTCGCAGCTGGGAGACGGAAGGAAGAGCCAACATGTGAGGTTGTGATTATTGTCATCATGGCGGCGGGAAGTAATGAATGATGGATGAAAAAGGTCGTTTCTCATTGGAGGGGCCTGACGCTTATTCACAGAGAGGATGTGACCTGCACGGATCAGAGTGTAAGACCCGAGCGTTGAACATCAGCCGTACGTATTTATTTCAGGTGACTTTAGTTCAGTTTGAAGTTCTTTGTATGCTTCATTTATTACATCTTTTAATAGTCATGCTTAAATATCACTTCTCCCTCTTCTTTCATCCCCCGTGGGATCGACGCCCTCATCCTCTCAGCAGAGGAGTGGACAAAAGAGAGAGAGAAGCCACATGAATAAAACACCAACTCACTGAAAGTCCTCTTATGCTTCAAGGTGACTCCTTTAGTTTCTAAGAAAACGTCTGAAAGCAAACGGAAAAGAAAGAAAAACACCTCTGCACTGTTTTCTGAATTTAAATTCTGCTGTGAGTACACAGGCTGATGGAATCTGCATTATTAAATTGTAAAGTATAAAAAAGTTACGCAACACTAAATCTTTGAAATGGAATATTTTCTCTGCAGATATGTACTTTCCCCAGACTTCTTATCTCCTTTACACTTGGTACGCGGAAGTTTTTATCTCACAAAAAGCCCCCCCCCCCCCCAAAAAAAAAATCTCTTTTTTGGGGCTTTTATTTGTAAAAAGTTGGCTCTGTTGCAAAGGCGAGTTGTCTGCTGCAGGATCAGCGCGTTGGATCCCCGGCCAACATTCTGTCTGCTTTTGTTTGAAAGAGAGTTCTGAAATCTCTCCCCTTCCCTCTGAAGCCACAAACAGCCGATTCAACTGAGCCGTGCTCAGATCAATGGACTCACCGACTAGGACTCGTACTGGATATCGATACGCGCCGTAAAACCTCTTCCGAATGCGTCTCGGCGAGAAAATGAAACCAGAGCAAAAGAAAAAGAGAAAAGTACAGGAATTATCAGCGAAATGCTGATTTGAAATACCTGGTGGTTCGTAATTTCGCTCCGTTCTTAGAGGTCAAACCAACAGGCCGAAGAGGAATCTCAAAGTGAACTCCGTGCAGCTCTTAAGCTGTTTTGATTCTTTTCTGCTTACCTGGGAATGTTTATATCCCTGAACATGACTTATTCAGCGATACATCCTGTCTGCTGAAAGCCCCGGGGATGTTTACTTGATACCATACAGGGGGGGGGGGATACTATCTACATCCTGCTCCTAACGGCGCACGCAGGTAAACATTGATTCAGTTAAAAATGCCTGCAATCGATTCCAGCCCCCTTCCACCGTATTTGATGTAAGGGATATTCATCCAAAGTCAGGGAAAAGGGAAAGCGGGGGGATTGGAAGCGGCCGGAGGAGAAATAAATAAAAACATCTCGGGAACAGATAAAGAAGTATTTTTTCCCGCCATGTACGAAGAGTCGAGGGGCTCTTTGCACCGGAGGAGAGAGTGAAAAGAGTGGAATGAACAGCCCTCTCGCCGCTGAATCCCTCTTCAGGGGCGGTGAGGATCCTCAAGGGTCAATCGTTGTTTCGTGCGCTCTGCCCTGCACCTGATATCCGCACGCTGCCCTCGCATCCCGCTGGGAGGCCAACAAACGGACACGAGACTCACGTGTTCAAAGAAGCTCCGATGGTGATGAAACAGAAACACACCGGTCGGCCGGTTTGGGAAACGTCGCCGCGTGAGAGACGCAGGAAGCCGGAGACGGGAAGTGACGCGGCTCTGCACACGAGTCGGCACTTTCCTGAAGTCTGATTGCACTTTTGACTCTTTTGTGTTTTCATGCCTGAACCAGCTGAGAGGAGATGTGTATGTATACACTAGTTAGTTTGTTTTAGAGGTTCATTCTGACGTTCGGACAATAGTCCTCTACTCTTTGACGTAACGACGTAGGCGTTTAGGTGTTTTTCTCATTCACGATAATTCATATTAACACATTTTAGTGCCGTGTTGATATATTATTTTTGAGTGTTGAGTCAACTGAATACTTGATTATATACAACTGATGGACTTGATTTCATAAACAGATGCTCCAGAAAATTATCTCGCGACTGAACCACTTAAAAATGTAAACGCATGTAAAAAAAAATCCATTCAGTACAACACTTTAAAAAGACGTAAGATCAGTTATTCAGACATCAATTATTCATAGTCTCTTTATAACGTGGAGCTACACTTATTCTAATTCACATGAACGTGTTAAAGGGTCAACTGGCTGTAAGTAATGTTTCAGCATTTCATTTCATAGGTCAAAGGCTGTTCAGTGTAACGTGAGAGGGAGAGAGAGGGGGGAGAGAGAGGGGGAGGGGGAGGGGGGGGGGAGAGACCTACGTGGTAGGAAGAGCGATGCTCTCGGTCGAGAGGTTTGGTGACGAACATCTTTCCGAGCACGGGGTCGATGTTGAACACCTCGTTGGGCGGCTGGTCCGCCCCCACCCCGGTGATGCTGTATCTGATGGAGATGTCCTTGTCCTGGTCGGAGCGAATCTGCAGCACAACAAAACAGTCCATCAGTCCATCAGTCGGACTTTGTCACAGCCACGGGCGACCGGCTCCCTCCCCCTCACATCCGCCGCGGGCCGTTTAATAACGAGACGCTCCCTCTCACCCCCCCCCACAGGGCGTTATAATTTTGTCTTTACACAACCTCTGAAATCTGATATGCCACATAATTCTCTGCAAACAGACACACGCATCTCAGTTGGGCATTTCTAGCTGGCGCGTACTCAAAGATTCTAATTGTGCTGCCGCAGGGAGCGCCGCGCGTTGAGCCTGGCAGAATCGGATTGCCTCAAAGACAAATTTGAATTCAATATTTGGAGAGAGAGAAATGAAATCAACATATATTTACCGTTAACTGACAGTGAAGCAGTGATTTATTAAGCTTTGCTGGAGCCGAGCGGGGGAACACGGAGAGGTCGTGAAGAAAAATGACAATTAGGACTGGAGAGCGAGGATGTAATTGTTGGCTAATTAGGAGACAACAACAGGCGTCATCGCAGAAAACACGTTTTCCAGAAGGCAAAAATGGGCCGGAAGAAAACAACAGATCCGCGGGTGCAGAGCGGGCGAGAATCATTGGATGAACGCGTGAGACGGTGGAGCAGGATGTTCTTTACTTTGCTCTACCAGGTGCATTAAGTACTGTGATTTGGGATTCAAGTGCTGCGTAATTGGGTCTCATTTGGAGGAGTTTTTTCATTCTAATGCCTGAATTCCGTCCGGGTCTCTGTCCATTAACTACATGACAACCTTTGAACATCAGCCGCTGTATCAAAATGACTCAATCATACACTTACTGCAGCATGTGGGCACACACTCTACTCACGGACTACACACACACACACACACACACACACACACACACACACACACACACACACACACACACACGCGCGTGCAGACAAGGGCAAAAACCTTGGCCAACCTTTTTTTACTTCTAACCAATGACTATTTCCGTGGAGTGCACCAGAAGAGTGGGCCTGTCCACATTTGTCTCCATCCTTCACCACTCAGGAACCAATTTAGCCACTTTTGACACACTGGGAATTCGGCCCCGCCGAGAGGAAAACACACACACACACACACATTTGACATTTGTGCTTATACAGACACTCGCGTTCCTTCGAGGTACTAAGAAGGACACGGTATTGCCGTGTAGTGTGAGACAGGTGTGATCCGGGACTGTCATCCTCGCGAGGCTGCTATTATCACCACTCCCCCTCCTCCCCTGGGGGTGTGGGTTATTCCAACAAATGTGACCAGCTACACACGACCCCTGTAAGAGCTGCCACAGCTAATGCAATGTGTGTGTGTGTGTGTGTGTGTGTGTGTGTGTTCGTCAGGGGGAGGAGGCGCTGCGTCAGAACGCTCCGCACACATCTCAGCCAATCGGTGCTGACAGCTGTGATAATTAACGAGCTGCAGGCTGCAATCACTTCAAAGGAACCCTCCGCCCGTTAAACACCACCCGACTGAACCAACATCCAGCCGGCGGGCTGCGCCTCCATCGCGCTCGTCGACGGGCGGAGGCCCACGCACCCCGTCCCCAAGCCCTCCCGTCGCATTAGGAAACACAAGCCACGATTACGCATCCCACCTCTCATCCGTCTCCCCCGTGGCCTCTGCCCTCCCCTCCTCTCCCCTCTCCTCCCCTCCTCTCCTCTGTGGGGGACAGGAGCCGTGCATGAGAAATGAAATTACTTCCATCCGTTGGCCTCGGCAGTGGCGTATAAATCCTCACCAGTTAGGAAGTGATAGCTCTCCATAATTCCATTTGGGTTTCCCCCCCCCCCCACCCCACATTTCCAACGCCGTCCGAGCCAATTAGCTTTCCCTCCCACAACGTTCACGTGGTAAACGCTTTCAAAATTGTTAAGGGACGATGCCAGAGTCCTCATCTGCTTCTACTAACATTTGTGGGTGGTCACACACACACACACACACACAGCGGTGTGCAAATTAAAGCATGCAAGTTTTCTCTGGCTCCTGATTAATAATGCATGTAAAGTAAATTATTTAAAAAAAAATCACATGCCACGCTTATGCATTAACAGGTCCTATAATGGCAGCTGCTGCTGCTGCATATTATCCGCTTTCTCCTTTTGCCGTAGAACCTTCTGACAGAATAGTGAGCGGCTCTCGTTATCATTCCGCCGTCTCAGCTTGTGGAAAAGGAGAGATGGTGATGAAAAGAGCTCAGCAGGAGATGAGCACCAAGCAGCAAACAGCTGCATTATTAGTTTTTACTTCAACAAAGGAGCTAATAAAGGGAATTATTTTCGAGACAATTATAATCACTTTTTCTGTCTTTGTGTCGTTTTTCGCTCCTTCTAATTGTGCTGTCGTGTGTTTGTGTGTCCATCGTGGAGGAGAAGCGCTCAGCTGAGAGAGATGCTGTGCGAGAGAGAGAGAGACACAGAGAGAGAGAGCGAGAGAGAGCGAGAGAGAGCGAGCCATCACTGCATCACCACACATCAGAAACCAGACGCGGCCTAAATGACCTATTTGTCGACGGATCAAAGCAATTCCCTTCATTACTGACAACTTGTCTGCTTCTTAAGGAGATCTTATCAGTGAGCTTAGCTCCCTTCTGTCAGGCAGAACTGAATGAAATGAGAAATTATCCAGGCACCGGGTCTTTGGGGAGGAGCGAGGAGGAGATGAAGAGCGAGGGGCGAACAACACAGTGGTACCAGCGCGGTTACTGCTGTGCAGAGGACTCCATTCTCAGTTATAGATGCATGTTACGGTACGCCGACATGTGACCGAGCTTCCTGCCGTAGTCGAAGATGCTTTTACATCTGAATAAGCCGTTTACATTGAGTCATCGGATATAAAAATCAACACTTATAAACGCGCCCAATGCCAGCCACATTTAACCAGCAGCTGCTGATGATAGTTGTGCATTTAGCTGCATCAGGGGCAGATATATTGGAGTTGGTGGAGACCAAAGCCGAGCTTAAAGGAGAGTGAAGGTTAGCCACAGAAAGGCTAATGTTGCTTTGTGTTGCACGTTGGCCAATGTAATGCCACTTTTTATCTACTTTTTACATCTACATCTGAAAGCACGGAAGCAGACAGAGAAGCACCGCGGTCGCCCTGCCTGGTCTCAGGTGTCTCAGGTTCAAACCGTGGCCAACCCGAAGGCCTCTCGGCGTTCCTCGTGCACATTACCAACGCGCCTGTTCGCCTTCCGGCCCACGCGGCCCTCTCGCTGACGGATTAGGAGAGCGGGCCGCTGTGTGCAAACAAAGCGGAGGGACGCGTGGAGGCTTAAGGTTTCACCACATTCCCATCAACGAGACGCCGGCGTCCTCCTCGTGTCCACGACAGAGATGACGGCGGCGCTGTGAAAGCAACGACTTTGTTGACCTTGAGGTTCAAATGAATAAATACAAAGTGGAAGATGACACCATGTCTGTGCAGAACCAAGGCGTGTGCAACGGACTAATTATTGTGAATCCTCCACATGGACCACGTTGCAAACACTGAAGCTCCACTCCACGCTGGTCTCCTGTATTCCAGATGTGATCAACTCTTCTTTAATCCGTTCTGCGGGCTGACAGACGCACGAGTGAAGGAACTGACCAGCTATGCAAAGTGCGAGTTTTTAATCTCTTAATTATTCCTTTTCGGGGGCGTAAGATGAATTGATCGAGTCATCTCCCATTACCTAAAAAAGGCAGGTGCAGCAAATTGGACGAACGGCAAACACAAGCTGCTTTTTCCGCCGCTGGGAACCGGCGTGTTTGCGCGAACGCCTCCGCGGGTTCGCTGTGCGTTTAACGAGCAGAGTGTTCGCTCGTTAAAACCCACTATGTAGGCGCATCTTACTCCCCTAATAGTGTCCCCTTTAAATAACGGTAAAAATACCCTGCTATTGACTTCCAGTGTTGTGGTTTGGATCAGACGCTTCTTACCGTCTCGTCATTGCTTTTGTTTTTAGTGGAACAAATGACACAAGAAGAGCCCGTAAATCACACGCGGCTCATCGGTCTGCATCTGGTGACACGAAAGATCGCGTTTCATTCAACAGAGCTTTGAGAATGAAACCTTTCCGACACCTTTATCACGAAGGAGGAGACAATTCTACTGTGAGGGGGAACAAATAGCGAGGACCATATATGAATATATTCAGCTTTCTTATGAATGAACATGCGGACAGTGAGCAGCGGGACGGCAGAAACAGTCCAGGCAGCGCAGGAAATGCAGGTATCGGCCTGCAGGTCACGAGCCGAATGTCTGAGAGGAAGCTTACATCACATGCCAACTCCCGTCTGTCAGACGCGAGATAAAACAGACAACTTGTCGGGCTTTTTTTTTTGCTGTGAGTCAGCAGAGTGTCTGAATTAAAGGCTTTTGCTGTATTTTTTTAAACACAGACTTCTGCTCAGGCTTTGAAGTGGAGCATTGTATCTCTTCAAAAGGGAGCGCGGGACTGATGTTCGGTACCTCGGTCTTTAAAAGAAAACGCACTAACTAACTTAAAGATGAAACAGAAGCTGCATAACATGTTGTGTTCACAGCTGGGGGAGGATCACGTGAACAGACGTTCTGTGCGGTAATGAAAGACACACCTGTTGAATGTGTGAGAAGAATTTACATGCAAGTCTCCAGGGAGGGACATTTGTCTCTGGATTCGCCTCATTTTGTGTTTAATGGTAATTAACAAAGGCTGGCGTGTAACTGTAAACTTAGTTTGTCAGGGGTGTCGTGGGAGGCAGGACTCAAAACGCAAACGTTTAAAGCAAAAGGACTTTAATAGTCATAAACTCCAACACAAAATGGCCAAGGGGCAAAAACAAAAACAGGTACCAGGGGGCAAAAAAGCAGGGGGCGGCAGGCAGGAACTAGAGACATCCAGGACGATAGACAAGGACGCGACAAGTGACACAAGAGACACACACGGCTTAAATACACTAGGGAGGTGCAGGTGATTGGACACAGGTGGAAACAATCAGACAATCACAGGGGATGACAGGACA